TTCTGTGTTCTCTGTGTTCATCTCCGTTAGCAGTACATCTATTTTCCCATTTGGTCAGTCAGTGGTCAGTGGTGGCGGCGGCAGGCATTCAGTGGCCCATCTCTTAGCACTCACTTACTGCAGCCTGCTGCTGCTGCTGCACTGGATACACAGTGGCCATTCATCATCGGCTGATTATCACTCGCCGCCTACTACTTTGCCACCTACATCATTTTCTCCTTTTTATCATTTGCATCTGCCCCGATTCCTAAAAGCCCTTCGCATGTGAGTTCATCAGGCTTTAAAACTCTTTTTTGCACATTGAGCAGCAAGATCCCTCCATCCACCATGGAAGCCTTCCTTCTCTGGGCAGTGTGCCTGACGGTGCTGTGCTGCCTGCTAGCACCGCTGCTGCAAGTACCGCAGGTCGTCGTCGCACTGCCCGCCACTATCCAAGTTGGTAAGTACTGAAACAACCAAACTCTTTTTTCCTTATAAACATTGTTTTCACCTCGCTCTAGGTGGCCTTTTCACCGCCGACCAGCGCGAGGAGGAGTTCTTTTTCCGCCTGGCGGTGAACAACATCAACGAGGACACGAGCATCCTGTCGCGCACCAAACTAGTGGCGCAGGTGAAGAGCATCGACTACTACGACAGCTTTCACGCCAACAAGCGAGGTAAACAAGCTTCCAAAGTTTATCACCTTATCTGATCAAATTCACTTCCTTTCACCTTCAGTGTGCGACCTGCTGGAGAAGGGCGTCGTAGCCCTGTTCGGCCCCCTCAGCGCCAGCCCCAGCTCTGCGCACACCCAGTCCATCTGTGATGCCCTGGAGATACCGCACATTGAGACGCGTTGGGATTTCACCCAGGACCGCGATGACCTCTCTCTGAACCTCTACCCGCAGCCGTCGGTACTTTCCAACGCCTACGTCGACCTGGTGAAAGCCTGGGAGTGGAAAACCTTCGCCATCGTCTACGAGAACAATGAGGGCATCATTCGCCTGCAGAATTTCTTCAAAGAGGCGGAGGCCTTCAATTGGAAGATCCAGCTGCACCAGTTCGACCCGGACCGCCCCTACAGGGACACCTTCTGGGAGGTGAACAAGGCGAAAGTGACAGAGATCATCCTCGACGTGAAGCGGGAGAATCTGCTCACGGTGCTGCGGCACGTAAGTTGATAATGAGCTAAATTACTGCTGTTTCAAATCAAAACAATCAAACGCTCTTTCTCCACTTTCAGGCCCAGCAAGTGGGCATTGTCACTGAGGCGCACAGTTACCTGATCACCTCGCTCGACCTGCACACCTTTGACCTGGAGGACTTCAAGTTCGGCCGCACAAAAATCACCTCGCTGCGCCTAGTGGACGAGGCGAGCATCGAGCTGAACGCCATCTACTCCAACTGGACGCGACTCGCCCATAAGATCGGCATGAGCGACGTCAAGCGACCTAATGGCATACTGGTAAACAATTTTTTTTCTGGTACAGCCCCACTTTTATTAACTCATTCCCATCACTCATTACCACAGATCGAGTCTGCACTCATCTACGACGGCATTCGCCTGCTCAGCACCGCCCTACAGGACCTCGACCAGAGCCAGTCAGTGGACGGCATTCAGCCGATCTCCTGTCACAGTGGCAGTCCCTGGCTCTACGGCAGTTCACTGCTCAACTACATGCGACCGGTTAGAGTTCTGTCTGCGGTTTTCATCGTCATCAACATTTACACTCTTTCCTTTGCATCTAGATCGCCTTCCGCGGCATCACCGGCCTGGTGGACTTTGACCAGCTCGGCTACCGGACCAGCTTCTCGCTGGACGTCATGACCATCAACACGGAGGGCTTCATGAAGGTAGTGACAAGTGAAGGAAGTAATCCTATTAATCTAAATCACTTCATCCATTTTTAGATCGGCGAGTGGCGCCAGACGAACGTCCGCAATGAGAGCCGCCTGACCAAGTTCGAGCAGTGGGACACCCACTACTCGTACGTCTCAATGCAGAACGTGACGCTGATCGTCACCACCGCCCTCCAAGAGCCCTACACGATGATGAAAGACAGTGCCGAGGAGCGCAGCGGCAACGACATGTACGAGGGCTATGCAGTGGACCTCATTGAGGAGCTCTCCCACCTGATGGGCTTCAAGTACGTCTTCAAGCTGGTGGCCGACGGCAAGTACGGCGTCCAGGTGAACGGCACGTGGAACGGCATGATCGGCGAGCTGATTCGCAACGAGTCCGACATTGCCATCGTCGACCTGACGATCACCTCGAAGCGCGAGGAGGCGGTCGATTTCACGCAGCCTTTCATGAACACCGGCATCAGCATTCTCTTCAAGAAGCCGACCACCAAGGTGACCACGCTCTTCTCCTTTCTCTCGCCCTTCGAGGGGCTGGTGTGGCTGCTGGTGCTGGCTGCCTACTTCAGCGTCAGCACTATTCTCTTCGTCATCGGCCGCCTGACGCCCTACGAGTGGGACGATCCGCACCCCTGTCGGCACGAGGACAACGTCCTGGAGAACAACTTCAGCCTGATCAACAGCTTCTCCTTCACCATTGGCACGCTGATGCAGCAGGGCTCGGCGGTGGCGCCCAAGTACGTGTGAACAGTTTGGCGGCGGCGGCTGCAAAACGAAACTAATGAACTTCTTCTTCTTCTTCTTTTCCGTAGAGCCATGTCAACGCGTACCATTGCCGCCATTTGGGTGAGTGCAGACTGAAGGAGGAAACAAAACATTAGCTAATATCGTCTTTTTCTCTCCAACACGCAGTACTTTTTCACCTTGATCATGATCAGTAAATAACTTTTTACCTTAATGGAAAGCAGTCTTGATAACTTTTTGGTTTACTTTTCGTTCAGGTTCGTACACTGCCAACTTGGCCGCCTTTCTCACTGTCGAGAAGGTGGTCTACCCGATTGAAAATGCAAAGGGCCTCTCCGAGCAGACGAAAATCGAGTACGGGTGTCTGGCCAGCGGCAGCACCCGTTCCTTCTTCAGCGAGTCGAACATCCCCGACTACAAACGCATGTGGAACTTCATGAAGACGCGCGAGCACGTCTTCATGAACAAGACGGTGGACGGCGTGGAACGGGTCCGCCGCAGCAACGGCAACTACGCCTTCCTAATGGAGTCCGCCTCTATTGAGTACACTATCGAGCGAGACTGCAACCTCACGCAGATTGGCAGCCTCCTCGACAGCAAGGGCTACGGCATTGCCACGCGTAAAGGTACGGGGAAAACTGATAAAAATGAGGCAATATAAATCAGCTGTGTGTTTTCCTCACTCCCAGACTCGCCGTTTCGAAATCCGCTCTCCCACGCCATTCTGAAGCTGCACGAGAACGGCGTCCTCCTCTCGCTGAAGGAGCGCTGGTGGAAGCAGAAGAAGGGCGGCGGCCAGTGCGCCGAAGAGTCGAAGAAGTCCTCCTCGGTGAACAATCTGAGCATTGACCACGTCGGCGGCGTCTTCGTCGTCCTCCTCGGCGGCCTGTCGCTCTCCTTTCTGGTGGCCATCTTTGAGTTTGTCTGGAAGTCCAGACACAGTACTGATGTAAGTGGGCTTTTGTTTGTGTGTTTTTGTGGGTCGTAAAAGTGTCAGTAGTATACTAATCTCCAACGTCCAATTACAACTCCCCAAAACAGAGCAACATCTTTGAGGACATGATGAAGGACCTCAAGTTTGCGTTCGCCTGTCAGAGCAAGACGAAGAGCGTTACCAAGAGCACCGACGCCATTTACACGGACAAGTACGACTACAGTCCGCCCAACTATGGGCCAGAGTTTGCGCCAGTGTACTGAGGAAGATAAGGAGAAAGATGTGATGTGCCGCCAGACACAGGCTGCCAATGGTGTAGCCATGGTGACTGATCCACCCTCGAAACCAATTGCTCAACTGATTATCTAATCATCATCATTACGAGTCTGTTGATCTTGCACAGTCCACAGGTCTCCTGGAAAAAAAGCCCTGATGCAGTAGAATGAGAAGTGCGAGTGAGTGAGTGAGTGAGTGTCCCGTAAGCTAGTGGAGATCAGAGCATAGCCGAGAGAATGCAGATGACTACCATCACCCTCACTGAAAAAAAATTCCCCTTCATAAAAAGACAAGTGCTTGTACATACACACACACCCGCACCCCCTATGCTTGTGACGTTTGCTGTAAATAAAAGTCTTGAATACCGTTAAACTGATTGTCCAGTGATTCGAACATCATCACCTGAATGGAACTTTGTGTGTCTTTTTCATTTTCACCACCAGCCAGCACAGCAGCAGTCACATCATCTGCGGCAAGACCGTGTCGGTTCAATGCACTTTTCTGCTGTGCTTTGTTTTGATTCCACAGTGCCTGCTTTCATGTATTGATGCGGCAACGGTAAGATCTGGTTGTCTGCGTTTTATCTTTCTCTGTAGAAGAGCCGTCTTCTCATTTATCACCACTCCCTTCTCTATCCAATCTGAAGAGCCTCTTCAGCCCCTCATCGCCACCAGTTCGGACATCTGCTCCACTGCTCTACTGCAGTACTCTCTCTTTTCTCTTCGATATATCCGCCCCTGCTGCTGCTGTCGCAAGCTGTCATTCTACAATTGGCTATCTAATCTGCGCAAATCTGAGTTAGGGAGAGAGGGAGAGAAGACATTGTTGCGACTATTTGTTCAAGCTGTCTCTGTATCACCAGCACTTGGAGATAATAATTACTGACTCGTGTTACCAGCTGCTGCAGTGTCCTGCAAATCCTGGTAACTGCTTGCACTTGCTCCCTCTCTTTCACGACAATGCTCCCTGAAAAGAAGTGCTTGTGTGGTGGTCGACTTTGAGATAGAGAAGAGAGCGAGAGAGAGTGGGCTACAAGGAAGGTGGTATTACGTGCTCTACCTCAGCAGAGCCGCTGACCGCTTTTGCACCGTTTTGGTACTGACTACGTGATTATCCTTCTTTCCACACTGCCGTCCACGCTTTGAAAGGCGCGATAATCGCCGCTCAGACAACTAACTAACTAACTTACACTAACGGCCGCCAAATAATGGAGTCGACCTCGATTGAAATGAGCAAGTCGCAGGTATGTTGTTGCTGTTGTTGTTTACCTGTTGTCCTGATTGAAACTTGATTTTCCCTATCTTCTGCTACTTTCTCCTCAATGCAGCTGAGCACTGATCAGAGTGAATCACTACTGGGCGGTAAGAATGCCGATCCGAGCAGTCCCGTCAACACCGCCAACATCAGCTGGCAGGGAATTTCGGCGTCGACGAAGCAGGGGAAACGGTGCTTCAAGGTGGTCCCGCCAAAGGCCATCCTCAAGTCGGTCTCCGGGAAGGTTGACTCCGGACAGCTGTTGGCTGTGATGGGGCCCAGGTAATCTTTTTTGGAATTTTAGTGTTCGCAAAACAATTAACACAATTTTTTTGTTTCAGTGGTTCCGGAAAGACCACACTGCTGAACGTGCTGACGGGCCGCAACCTGAGTCAGTACGACATTGAGGGAACCGTGCTCGTCAATGGCAGCCCGGCGAGAATCGACACGATGAAGTCGCTGAGTGGATACGTTCAACAGGGCAGCATCTTCGTGCCGCAGCTCACCGTCAAGGAGTACCTAGTCTTCCAGTCGCTGGTGCGCATGGACAGCCACCTCAGCCCGGCGGAGCGCAGCCAGCGAATAGAGGAGGTCATCACCGAGCTGGGCCTGGGCAAGGTGGCCAACACCCGGATTGGCAACCGCTACGACGATCTGGTCGGCTCGGGCATCAGCGGCGGCGAGCTGAGGCGGCTTTCGCTGGCCGCGGAGATTCTCACCAATCCACCTTTGATCATCTGCGACGAGCCGACTTCAGGTAATTAGGCTTTGAACTATTCTGCCTGTTCAACTCTCAAATCTCCTTCGTTTCTTAGGGCTTGACTCCTACTTGGCGGAGAATGTCGTCAACATGATGAAAAACCTGGCACATTCCGGCCGAACAGTGATCTGCACCATTCACCAACCCTCCTCGGAGGTGTTCATACTCTTTGACCGGCTGCTGCTGCTAGCCGAAGGCCAGGTCGCCTTTATGGGCTCACTGGCGGAGGCGCAGGAGCACTTTACTAGCCTGCGAATGGTCGTGCCACAGAACTTCAATCCGGCGGACTTTTACCTGCGGCTGCTCTCCACCATTCCCGGAAACGAGGTGGAGTGCGAGGAGAGAATCAAGCTCATCTGCGGCAGCTACCGTGAAAAGCAGAGGGAAGCGGCACAGGCGCTGGAGGTAAATGGACTGAAGGGAGGTGATGGTGTTCAACCGCCTGAAGAGGCGCTAAAAACTTCTGAGCCTACTACTACTGTCAAGGTGAAGACGGGCAATCCCTACAAGGCCACCTGGTGCGGCCAGTTTAGAGCCCTTCTCTGGCGGTCCTTTATTACCAATTCTCGTGAGCCGATGATTACGAGAATCAAACTATCGCAGACCATTGTAAGTTTGCTCATTTCTTCAATTAAGTAAGAGTATTTGCCTGTTATCTCATCTATTTTTATTTTCAGACCGTAGCCCTTCTGCTCGGCATAGTCTACTGGAGTCAGCCGAATGAACAGGGACAGTACGACCAGAAGGCAATCATGAACATTAACGGAGCCATCTTCATCTTAATCATCAACTTGACCTTTATGAACATTTTTTCTGTTGTAAATGTGAGTATGATTTGCGACTTGAAGGTTAACTCAATACTGATTTGTGGTTTCACTTTAACGCAGACGTTTTGTAGCGAACTTTCAATATTCTTACGGGAGCACAATGACGGAATGTACCGGGTGGACACCTATTTCCTGAGTAAACAGGCAGCTGAAGTGAGTGTCGTTGGTGATTGAACGGTCAAGATGAGCTAACTTTTTTACCCTTTTACTACCTGCCTAGTTACCCTTCCAAATTTTGATGCCCACCGTTCTGGTAATGATCCTCTACCAGATGATTGGCTTCAACAGCTCAATGGAGTCGTACCTGCTCTTCCTCTTTGTCTCCAACCTCATCGCCAACTGCGGCATCAGCTTCGGCTACATGATATCCTGCATGTCAAGCAGCACCAAGATGGCCATCGCCCTCTCATCGCCACTCATACTGCCACTGCTGCTTTTTGGCGGCTTCTTCATCAACAACAACTCGATTCCAATTTACTTTGAGGTCTTCAAGTACATCTCCTGGTTCTACTACGGCAACGAGGCGCTGGTCATTGCGCAGTGGAAAAATGTTGACAACATCATCTGCGAGAAACAACTGGCCCAACAAAGCAACTCCACAGCAGTATCTGCTTCTGCTCACTCCACCAGTGAACATCGCTGTCTGCACCATGGCAGCTCGATCATCGAGGAGCTTAGCTTCAACGTCAACAACAGCCTCTTGGACATGTGCTGCCTGGTCACCCTGATCATTGCCATGAGGGCAGTTGCCTTCATAGCCCTCCTGCGCAAGTCCAAAAAGAGGTAACAAACTCGTTTTTAGGCAGACTTTTATCAATTTAATCTAGCTTACACACTTTGACACACCATTTCGAAACACTTTTCTTTGTCCATTGACCTTTTACCAATTTGCTTACAGTTTTATATAACTATTTTTCCTACTAAAAAAAGAGATTGAACACGAAGGAGAAGGGGGAGTTTCCTCCTTAGAATCGAGCACTTTTTGAAGTGCTGGTGTCGTTGAGAACTGCAAACTCCGTGTTCCCTAAACTTTTGCCCTTTTGTCCGTAGATGGGCATTGAAGTGGTGGTGCTGTTGTTGTAGTGGGCGTCCTTCTTCGGGCGCAGCTTGCAGAGGTGCACACACTGGTGGTACTTGGCGGGGTGGAAGGTCTCATTGATGCCCAGACCGCGGTTGTTGCACTGCTCGTAGACGCAGCTGTAGATGGGCTTGTAGACGCGAATGCGACAGCCCTCGATGCAGTAGTTCATGTCCTTGTGGCACTTGTAGAGGACCTTCTTGCAGCTGCTGATGCAGGTCTTGATCTGCCCCGACCAGGAGCGCTTCCGCTGCAGCAGCTGCTGGATCTCCTGGTACGGCGAGCCTGAAGTGGTGATTTTTACATATTTTTTGGTGTTAAAACTTTGCATTGATTAAAATGGGAACTCACCAAAAACTAGCGCCAGTATGATCGGAAGAAGAAGAAGAAGAAATGCCGATTTGAACTTGTACATTGTGGCAAAGTGATGGAAGCGGAAAAGGCGAAAAGTGCACTGCTGCTGCTGCTTCTGCTGCTGCAACAGATGATGGCGGTGATCTGCTGATCTCAGGCCAGCTCAAAGTCCGACTTTCTAGTGCACCAAAATGCACACAATCTTTTTCTTGCAGGGTAGCAGTTTTTCTCTCCACAACCGTCGATCACCATCGAACCGTGTGACCCGACTTCGACTTTGCATGGCGGTAATTACCTCCAACTTGGTAGGTAATCAGTTTGGCGGTAGTTAACTTGGTGGCTGGTCGGTGTGCGCGCGCCAGACCATTCGTCGCTCTATCTGTCTACAAAGAGAGCGAGAGAGGGAGCAAGCGAGAGAGAGAGAGAGCGAGGCTTCTGTCATGCTTCGATCGGCATCGGTCTGTTTCTCTTCTGTTCTCTGCTGTTGTGCAGTGTTGTGCAGCTGTTCTTGTTGTTGACTGCTCGAATTACATTCCCTCGTCTCGATTTGCATTCACCACCATCGCCATTTCCACTCCTACCATTCCTAAACACTTCCCTCTGAACTGAATGAGCTCATCTTACCCGCTGCAGAGCACCCTTCTCCGGTGATTCACTCCACACAATGTCGCCTGCAGTTCGCCAATTAGCTCTCGTCAACACGGTGATCTTTGCAGTTGGCGTCCTCGCTGGCTATATCATTCGGGACATCTACACTCGACTGAAGCAGCGAAGAGGGACTGTAAACAAAAACAGTCTCGCCGACCAACCTCATCGAGCTCAGAAGCACCGTGATAAGAGAACAGCAAACTCCCGAACAAGGACAGAGCACCAACGAGAAGGAGGCGAAGAGGGGGAGGAGGAGGAGGTGGAGGTGGCAGACGGAAGTGCTGCCGCCGCCGCCGCTTCTGCTGCTGTTCGGTCGGCAATTCCCAAGTGCCAGTCAAGCGAGGATATCTTCTTTGACGCTCCCTGTGATAGGTAAGTAGTGCTGCAAGGAAAAGGCTGCACTTCAGCTGATCCGCTTTGCCGATAACTGACCGACTATCTCCTTCTTTTCTTTTTCTTCTTTAGCGACGATAACAACTTTCCAGCAATGGGTGATGTAGCAGGCAGCAGCAATGCCCCCTTATCGTCTACCACCACCACGATCACCACAATCGCCGACAGACAGCTACTCTACGCTCAAGTTGATCAACTACTTGAACTGCTGGAAAACGGTGGCAGCAGCATTGGCAGCAGCAGCAGCCCAGCTGAGCTCGTGCAGACGGCCCTCGAGACGCTGAAGCAGCACCAGGCAACAGTTAAGTGTCTGATTGATCGATCGATCAATGTTGCGCAATCACACACTCTCTAAACATGCTCATCTTACTCCCTTCAGCTTTCCGACGACGCCAATTACTGGTGGCGACGATCTCGGGCGATCTACCTTCTCAGCAAAGCTGATGAGCACCACCAGGAAAACAAAAAGACCACCACCAACAAGAATGCGCTGATGAACGAGGCGGTGGAGCACGCCCAGCGGGCGCTGGAGCTCGACCAGCTGAACGGCGACGCCAACAAGTGGTTCGCCATCACCTCGGGGGCGCTCGGCGAGGGCGCCGGCAGCTTCGACTTTGTGGGCAAGGTGCGCAGCGGCCGCCTCTTCAAGAAGCACCTCGACCTGGCGCTGGCGCTAAAGGCAAACCGGGCGGAGGAGGACGCGACCCTTTTCCACCTGCGCGGCCGCTTCTACGTGGAGTTTCTGGGGCGAAACGGCCTGGAGCAGATGGTCGCCCGACGGGCCATCGCCGACATTCCCGAGGGCGTCAGTCTGGAGCACGCGCTGGAGGACTTTCTGACCGCCCACCGACTGCGCTCCGCCTGGAAGGAGAACATTCTCCACCTGAGCAAGGCGCTCCTCAAGCTGGGCCGCCACGCCGAGGCGGCCACCTTCATCAGTCAGGGCCTGGAGCTGCCGCTTACCGCCGCTGCCATTAGCACTAGCGAAGAGAGCCTCGCCCACTCTAAACTGAACGAGCTTTTGGGCAAGTGCAAGACAAAGAAGAAGTAAGCTCAAAGATCAATTTAAATTTGACCAAACATACATTGAAACACACCCCCTCACACACACACACCAGGTGCATCAGTGATAAAATGTGCCAACCTCACTGTTTTTTTTCTGTTGCTGTTCTTGTTGATTAGTTGTTGATTGATTCTACAAGTTCAAATTTTTTTTACAATTTGGAGTTTTGAGTGAGAACTTTATCACAGGATTCTATGTTTTTATACAAATTAAAGTATTTTATGAGTGATCAGAGGGGGTGGTGTGGCAAAATTAGGAAAACGAGGCTCAAGAGAGAAATTAAAACGGCATTAGCACAGGCTGCATTGCAACATTTTTAGACCTGGTCATCAGAGAGTGGACTGGAGTAGGTGGTGACAGTAGCAGTGTCATTCAGTCAAAATAAATTATATTATTTGTCTCAATATATTACATGCATGAGAAAGAGTGAGAGAGAGAGGAGAAACAGGGAGAGGGAGAGAGAGTGAAATGAGCATTTCAGATAAAAATCAGTGCTCTGGAGTTGCCCAGTGAGTGTGGTGTGGTGTTGAGATGATTGCTTGGAGGAGGGGAAATGCACTAAATGCAGTGATGCACGATGAGAGAGAGACGGGAGATGAGGGTGATGGTGTAGTAGAGCATCAAGTGGTGGGGTGATGAAGGAGGAGGAGGAGAAGGTTATGAAGGCGACAGAGGAAAGCCTAATGCACTAAAGAGCTTCGACTTTAAACCGGTCCTCGAAGTGGCACTGCCGCTGCCGCTGTTGCCGTTCGCCTGGTCGTTCAGGCTGGCGGAGGATGAAGTTCGCGGCACACCGGTGACTGCGGTGATAGTCGAAGCGGGCAGAGAACGCTAGACGGTGGAAAGGGAAGATGGAAAGACAAGAAGAACAAAGACGAACAATTGTTCGGGGAGGAGAGGTATTATCGGTTAGCACAAACAGACAAACAGAAAGGGGAGACAGAGGACACGCAAGAAAGCAGTGCGACAACTAAAGCTGTTGCTTATTGACGACTACCACTGCTTTCTTGCTTGCTTGAGAGTGTGTGTGTGTTTGCGTGTTTGCCCTCACACACAACAATCCCGGACGCACAATGATTGTGAATTTGTACTGAACTGGTGGTACTTACATGAGCGGAGGCTACCTCGCCGGTGCTCTCCAACGACTCCCGAGATCCGCGCCGGCTATTGTCCTTAAAAAACGATCGATGTTTATCTCTCAGAGAGGAGCTAGAGGCTAGAGATTCTGAACTAGCTAAGTAAGAGAACTTGCCTGGTCTGCCCGATGCCTCGTGGTTTTGCTGATGTTTGAAGTAGATGGGGGAGAAAGATAGAGAAAGGGTTAGCTCAAGTTTGCGCAGGTCGACCATCAAGTGTGGCCATCTCTTAATCCTCTCCAATCGAGTTAGCTCACCTCTTTGTTGATGCGAGCGGCAGTCAGGTCTTCGAGCACCTCCGCGGCGTCCATCTTGCCGATCTTGCGGTACAGTGCCACCAGGTTTTTCAGCGTAGTCGCCACCGTAGGACTGTTAAAAAGGCAAAGTTGTAATGAACTTTTTTAAAGGAAAGGCAATTCCATTTACCACTTGTCGACCGCCTTGTACCAGCCGCCGTAGTCGGAGATGGTGGGCGTGCCGTTCTTGCGCTCCTCCCGCTCCTCGGCCAGCTGCCAGATCGGCTTGTTCTCCTCGTTGATGTTGCCAAACTCGCGCTCGTGCACCCGCGTGAGAATCTCCTTGTAGAGCGCCTCCGCCTCCTTGTACTTGGACTGCTTCAGGTAGGCGGAGGCGAGGTTGTTCTTCGTCTTCGCCACATTCGGGTCGTCCGGCCCCAGCACCGACTCGTAGATCTCCAGCGCGCGCAGGTAGTACTTCTCCACCTCGTCGTACTTGCCCTGGTTCTGGCAGAGCAGCGCCAGGTTGTTGAGCTGCTTCGCCACGTCGGGGTGGTTCTTCCCCAGCACCCGTTCGCGAATCTCCAGCGCCCGCTTGCAGAGCGGCTCCGCCTCCTTGTACCGGGAGCGCTTTCCGTAGAGGACGGCCAGGTTGTTCAGTGTGGCGGCCACCGCCGGGTGGTTCTCCCCCAGAGTCTTCTCGCGAATGGCCAGCGCGTCGTTCAGCAGATTGGCCGCCTCCTTGTACTTGTACTGGTCGCGATAGACCAGCGCCAGAATGTTCAGCATGGTCGCCACGTCGGGGTGGTCATGGCCGCTGGTCTTCTCCAGGTCCTCCAGCGCCTGCTTGCACAGCGGCACCGCCACCTCGTAGCGGCCCTGCGAGGCGTACTGAATCACCAGGTTGTGGAGCGTCCGCAGGCGGGCGGGAATCTCGTAGCCGGGATTGGCCGCCGCCGCCATCTGCCCGTGCGGCGTCGGCGTCAGGCTGTCCGGGTGGACGTTGTCGTCGTCGTCATCGGGAAAGCCCAGATCAAGGGGGTCCTTTTCGTTTTCTGCCTTGCTCTTCGAGGTATAGCTCTCTTCGGTTGTCTGTGTGTGTGTGTGTGTTGGGAAAAGAAAGCAGTGTTAGTGACAAATATGGTTTTTAGAGTAGTTGCTCAACAGCAGCAGCAGCAGTGGGAAAGGATGTTGTGTCTGCTGCTGCTGCTTCTGCTGAGTTTGTTGTTGTTGTTGACCAAACAAACTTACGCTAACTTCGCCCGTTTCGTACTTTTTCAGCGAATTCATAAACTCGAGGTGCTTCTTCTCCTCCTCCAGCTGGGCCACCGTTTGCTCTGATATTTGCAGCTTTTGCTGGGTATTTGCTAGCTCATCGCGCAGCCAGGCGTTCTCCTGGCACAGTCTTCTAACCTGGGCTCGGAACTTTTGCTTTTCCGCCTCGATGCTCTGCAGGTGTCCCGCTAGGGCCATCATGACCTGCAACAACAATGGTCAGTTAGTTCTGGAACACTTGAGTTAGAATCTCTACTTACGTGAGCTTCATTGAGGCCCAGTTCAATCGACTCGATGCTCTTCTTGACGATGGACGCCTTCTCCTCCATCAGGCGGGTGTTCACATCCCCCTTCGAGGTCTCCTTGACCATCTTGAGGGACTGCAACAGCCCCGACAGAATGGAGCAGTTTTCATTCTTCAACGCCTCCAAGCCCTGAACGACTGTTTTCGTGTTGGCGATAATTTCCTCCTGTGACATACTAATCATGCTGACCATGATTGAAAGCAGATAACGGGGGAAATATACAGTTCAATTAGTGAATTAGGCACTGATTAAAATGGGTAGAACAGTTGCAGTCAGCTTCTTTGTTATGAATCCATCCTTGTACTTGTAAGCACATCAAAGCGCCGACTATCACAGCAGTGTCCAATAACAGATATAAAACGGCAGGTGAGTGAGTGAGCGATTGAGAGAGACAGCCTGTGAGTGAGTCCACTTGTGATAGTGGACAGTCAGTGTGAGTAAGAAAAGAGTGGAAATGCACGACGCAAGCACAAGACGATAATAATGAAGCAAGGTAGCTAGCTGCGCCCAACAGCTGCAGCTGAAGCAGAGTAAGAGTAGTACAGAGAGAGAGAAAGAGATTCAAACTGCTGAAACAACACAACACACACGATAGGCTGTGCGAACAACACACACTGCAAAGAAGGTGCCGTGACTCACCTGTATGCCCAATTAGCGAGGCACCGTAAAGGCAAGTACAGCAGACGTAGAGGAGGAGGAGAAGGAGAAGTAGTGGAAGTAGTGGAAGTAGTAGACGAAGAAGAAGAAGAAGAAGTAGAAGAGAGTGGAGGCAAAGTGGATCAGAGTGAGTCGCTGGCTGCAGTTGCTGATCACTGGCTGGAACGACGACTGCGACAAAGTGGTGGTGGTCGAGGCCACCAGCTGTTGGCGTCACTGCTGCTGCTGCCTGAATGGTCAACAAGAGGACTACAAAGTTGTGATCAGTTTGAGACGGTCTGAGACGATCCGAAGGTTGTGACAGCGGGTGGGTGTGTGATTCCGGCAATGTTGCCCGCCAGCCAGTCAGTCAGTCAGTGAGGCTGATTCGTGGACACAATTGACGGAATCTCCTATCCTCTCTCCGCTCATCTCTCAATGAGTTTTCCAGCTGCTGCTGCAGCTGCAGTGCAGCGGCTCTATTGCCACTCTGGCATCGATATAGCCCGCCGCCGTAATCGCGTTGCGCAATGGGCGAGGTGCTGGCGCAGATGACAATGATGTCTCTTCATCTTCTTCTTCATTCTTTGACAATGACACGCCGACATTCGCCTATCAAAGAGATGATGATGTGAGCAAGTCAACACAGACAGCAAACACAGATGCACTCATTTTCACTTGTATATTTGTAATCAATTAAAATTGTTCAGCGTAAGAAGACGGAAGAAAATGAGAAAGCGAGAGAGTGAGAGATTAACACAACACAGAAGATAAGAACGGAAAAGAGAGAGAGAGAGAGATTGCGTGCGCAGTCGTACTGTGTTTTGTACTGGAGACAGGAAAAAGTGGAATCAATTTAAATGGCATCAATGTCGATGTCATCCTCCTTCTTGATGGCGTCCACGACGGCCTTCTTCGGCGACACCTTCGGCTCTTCCTTCACCTCCATGATCTTGTCGGGGCGACTGCGCTCGTCGTAGACCACCTCCACGTCGTCGTCCTCGTCCTCCTCGTCGCCCTCGCTGTCGTCCGAGTCCTCCTCTTCCGCCTCCTTCAGCCACTTCACAAAGGGCAGGGCGCGCTCGTGGATCTGACTGGCCAGCTGCTTCACGGCGGACTTTTTCTAAATAGGAGGAAGAAGGTAAGAAAATGAAGTAACAGCGAGGGGGGGGGCAAGGTTCTATTTATTACCTTTGAGGACCAGTCAATGATGACCTTCTCGTCGAGAATGTCCAGGTCGTAGAAAATCTTGAGGATGGGCGCAACGCGAGGCAGCAGCTCATTGGGGAACAGCTTGATGGTCAGCTCGAGGCCGCGAATCAGGTACTTCTGGGCCTTGGTGTTCTCCGCAGTAAACTGGATAGGAGAAAAAAGAGGATTAGAAAACAAACATTCACACACATTCAAGTGCTTTACTACATACGCGCAGAAACAGAGTTCGATTGGCCTTGATGACATTTTGCAGCTTGAGCGGATCCTTAAAGAGCAGCTCGCAGAGAACAAGCACTGCCTTGTCTTTCACATCCAGTCGCTCAGCCTCGGAGACAATCTCCTTCTGCACTGCAACGTCAATCGTCTCCGCAGTCAGTCGTTTCTGTAAGAGAGTTAGAGAGCAAGATTAGATTAGTCAGCAGCAGCTACCACAAACACACTGAACGCTGGGCGAACGTGATGGACTGTGCGCACTTACACTACTGTAGTCGTAGAACATCTGCATGCGATCGTCAACCGACTTCTCCAGATCGGCGTTCAACGTCAGCTTCTTGGCACCACCGGTGAGCTCCTCAATCTCCTGCGGATTCTCGCACCAGTCACCGTCATCGTCGTCGTCGCCGTTCTCGCCCAGGCCGGTGTCGTTGAATTCGTCCGAGTCGTGCGGGCTGGAGCGGCCGTTGGCGTCCTTCTTGTCCTTCTTCTTCAGCTTCTTGCTCACCGAGGCGCCCGGGCCGGTGTTCATGTCCGGCGGACACTTGAGAATGTAGGTGGAGAGCTTGTCCGTGAGACTGATGTTGCCAGTGTAGCCGCAGGCCTTGCACGTCGCGCTGATGGTGCCCTTCTTCTGGTGCACAAAGATGGTCGTCTCCGGGTTGTCGCAGGAGGCGCACAGCACGTACTTCTTGATGAAGCCGTCCAGCAGGTCCTGCAGCTTCGCCGAGTCGTGAGATCCGTTGACTATGTAGCGCTCGTTCTTCACGTCGCAGTTCACCTGGGCGCCGAGGACGCAGCCAAAGTACTTGGTTGGATCTGTTGCGGTAAAGAGGTAGTGTTAGTGAGCGTTAGTTGAGGAAGAAAGCAAGATGAATGCTGGCAAACACAGGCAAGAGGCACTTACACATTGGAGGACGGTTCAGAGCTTTGGCAATCTCGACCATGTTGACGATGACCGTCTTGATGCCGTTGCCCTTGCCCTCGACCTTGGCCATGAGCTTGGGCATCTTGTAGCGGTAGAACTGGTCGGTGAGATTGCGATTCACGTTGACGCTCCCCATGTTTGCGGTGGCTGGTGGTGGTGGTGCTCAGTAAAAATCAGGTCCAAAGTGCAAGTTTTAGTCTACTCCGAGAACAGTATTGGCGGTACCTGGTGAAAAAAGGAGAGACAGTTTGAGAAACGATAAAGGTCATGAATTTTGCGGAAGTACTGTTGCACTGGGACGTCTCGTGAGGAGGAGGAGGTGGGAGCAGGCTTCACTCACCAGGATATAATAGGCGCAGAGTATCGTTTATGCATAAACAATAACCGTGTCAAGTCTCGTAACGTTCCAATAGAGAGGTGCTTCGCACAGACAAGCGTTTGCGGACCTAGAAAAGTGGTACAACATAAGTACGACGAAGGATCAAGTGAAGTGCAAAAGAGTGGATAGAAAAGAGCAAGTGTAGAGTGGTTTAGAAATACTGCACGGGCAGCGGCAGAAAGAGAACAAACGCTAAAGCTGATTAGCATTCGAGTTCCAAAAGGCGGACAACAACAACGCATCCAGCCAGCAAGCCAAGTTCCAAAAGCTGTCTGCCAGCAGCTCTCTCCCGGTGACGTACCCAAGCTTGTTTCCAATAAAGACGTCATATAATAGTCTTTTTACTCGACGAACGATTTGGCGATTTGACTAAAAGTCGTGCGCTGCCTGAGCGGTGGTGGGAAGAAAATCAACGTGGCAAAAGGTGATGAAAATGGGGGGAAAATGGGAGTCAAGTGCACGGGTGTTGCAATTGGAAGGCAGGCGGCTGGGATGTGATGGTGGTGGCGGCGGCGGCGGTGGCGAGGATTTGATCAGGGCGTCGGTGGTGGCGACCAAAAGTGTCTGTGAGTTTGTCCTAACGGCGGACCTGAAAGTGTGCGAGTGGTGAACCGAGTACGAGAGAGAGAGAGAGAGAGAGAGGCTCGATCGAGAGTCGAGAAATGCTATGGGAAGCAGCGGTGGTGGTGGTGGTGGTGGCCTGGCCAGGACAGCGTCGCTGCTGCAGCTCTGCTGTGCGTAGTGATGCAACGTGAGAGTCGGAGAGCGCATGTGTACGGCGCTTCGAGAGAGATCGCGCTCGCAGTGTCGTCTCCAGAGCGAAAGACCGGTTCACACAATGGGCCTTCTCCAGCTGACGACGGAGAGAGAGAGAGAGAGAGTCCGTGTTTTGGAAGTTTAGAGGGAGCACGCGCTCGCCTTGGCCCCGATCTAACTCTAAACTGACCACAGTTTGGGCCGCAGGCTCAATGTATCCACCACACAGACTACAAGGAAGATGGGGAAAGAGAGAGAGAGAGGCTTAAATAAAGAAATGACGATGGACTTTTATTTTTCGTAATCGTAGGCCTTAGAAACATAATATCAAATGCGGAATATCATCAGAGCCCCTTGTGCTGCTTTTTGGTAGTTGAACCAGTGGCACCCATGTTTTCCCTCTTGGAGGTTTCCGGATTGTAGAGGCTCCGGCGAATCCAGTGACTCTGCATGTAATCGATGAGGATGCTGCGAAACTCGGACTTGACTATACAACAAGACGCTTTAGCTTTGAGGAAAGATTAAACACCTGAGATTCAACTTTACTTGGAATGGACGTGGAGTTCTCCTCGACGTGAATGTACTTGGACTTTTTCTCATTGCCTCTGGAGAACTTGGCAGACGATATTTTAGAAAAGTTGGCCTTGTTATGCACCGGCCCCTTCAGGTCGTTTGGGTCCTAGAACAGGTGAAAATCCTAGTTTGAGTACTTTAGTCGAGCCTCCTGAACTCCTTACCATAGTTTGTGGAAAAGGCAGTCGGCGGTGGAATTTTCAGTTCCAAGTTGCACTTTGAAAGTTCACGAAAAGAAGTTTGCGCAAAAAATAAACAATTCGAAGGGGCAGTGAACTTTAACTTGCGGGCCATTAATCGAGTGCGTGACTGTACAGAGCAGAAAGAGAGGGAGGGCACGAGGAAGGCACACCAACGCCCCCAGGTAAGCTTGCGTCCATCAGTAGAGTACGTCGCAGAGATATCAGCAGCACGCTGGCGTCGTTTGCAGTGCGTATAAAATCAACACACCGTTTCTTCATCTTGTACGACCTGTTCCAAGAGAGACAACTTCCTTTGAACTGATCTGCATATTTCTCTCTCTTTCTCTTCCTCAACATGCAAAAGTTCACCTGTCTGACCTGTCGCGTCAGCCTGAGTTCGGCGGACGTTCAGCGCGACCACTACAAGAGCGAATGGCACATCTACAACTTGAAGCGAAAGCTCAATCAGCTGGCGCCCCTGCCCGAGGCGGAGTACCAGGTGGTGCTGGAGAAGCACACCGCTGAGGCGAACCCGGAAACGCCCGCCGAGCCGCTCACCTTCTACTGTGAGACGTGCAGCAAGCTGTTCACCAATGAGAAGGCCTTCACGCAGCACAATGCCAGCAAGAAGCACCTCGCCATGGTGATCACCACCAGCAGAAACGGCAATCGAATGCATAAAGTCTCCTCAAGTAGTGATGGTGCTGGCCCTCAGTCCTCCCCAAAGGTGGAGGATGGTCCTCGACCGGTGTGCAATGAACCCAAGCAGGCTGCTGCTGCTGCTGCCCCTGCTGAAAGTGCCAAGAAGACGGAAGAGGTGATCATCGTGGACGGAGACGCCGAGGACTTCAACGACTCCGACTGGGAAGAGGTGGACAGCGACGAGGAGGTCTTGGAGGGCATTCCCATCACCGAGTGCCTCTTCTGCGGTGATCAGTCTGCCGACATGGCCGCCAATCTGGTGCACATGTCCCAGGCGCACACCTTCTTCATTCCCGACGTGGAGTACTGCGTCGACCTGAAGGGCCTGCTCAACTACCTCGGCATCAAGATCGCCTCCGGCCGGTGCTGTCTGTACTGCAGCGACTACGGCAAGCAGTTCGCCTCGAAGAAGTCCGCACAGCAGCACATGCTCGACAAGGGCCACTCGAAGATTAAGATGGACTCGGGCAGTAACAGCGAAACACTGCTGGAGTTTGAGGACTTTTACGACTACTCGGCCAGCTACCCGGACGGAGAGGGCGGAGAAAGAGGCGAAGGGTCAGCAGAGGAGATCAACATCGAGGAGCTGGACGGCAGCGACTACCAGCTGAAGCTGCCCTCGGGCGCCATCATCGGCCACCGCTCGCTCTTCGTCTACTACAAACAGCACCTGAAGGCGCAGCCGGCGGAGAAGCGCTCCCGCAATAAGGAGCTGCTGAACAAGGTGATGACCAACTACAAGGCCCTCGGCTGGACGGGCGCCACCACCCGAGAGACGGCGCTGCAGCGGGCGAAGGACATCGGCCATATGCACCGCATCTACCAGAAGAGCCGCATGCGGCTGGGCAAGAAGGCGAACCTCACCTCGACGCCGCACCTGCGCGACCAGCTCGCCTTCAAATAGAAAATGTTTATCCCCTTTTTTCCCTGTCATTTTTTTTACTACCGCCGGCTGTTTTTGAACAAATACACCAAGTACAGACAGGAGACCATGTTGATGAAGGTGACAATGGTGGAGGGAAAGAGAAAGGCGATGCCATTCGCCAGGTTGACCAGCGCGTCTCGCCAGTTCTCGTACTGGCAGACCGTCTCGCCCCCCCTCATCGGGAGGTAGCACTCGTTGTAGATGGTGATGCGGTCGTGGCTGAGCACCACCAGCGCCGCCAGCTTGAAGGCCACCTCGATGAAGAGGAGGGCGGTGGCGGCGATCAGCAGGCGAATGTGCAGCGTCCAGGCGCTGTAGAAGGTGAGGCTGGTGACGAGGAGGGCGTACGCCAGCAGACTGTAGTCGTACCAGTGCACGGCGGCGATGAGGGTGGCGAGGAGGACGAAGAGGGCGGCGAGCACCTCGCCCACCAGCAGAAAGTGCACCCGGCAGATGCTCTCCTCGTAGTTCGTCAGAATCAGCTTCGAGTCGACGGTGGCGGTCATCCTTGTTTTGGTTGTTGTTTTGGCTTGCTGTGATTCGCTGGAACAAATTAGAACTGGCGCAAACAGCCGTGACTAACTGGAACTGTGCTTGTGCCTGTGTTTTCACTAGATGGTGGCAATCACCGCCGTCACCGCCATGAGTTAGTCGTAATATCATTTTCATCATCAGTGAGCCAAAACTAAAAGTTGGAGCCATGGAAACCCATTGTAATCAGACCACTGCACACCTGTTTGCAATACCTATTGTTTGCGGTGTATGTGTGTTTCACTGTGAACCACTGCAGCGCTTTTCTGCACTCTTTCACCAGAAAGACTTTGAATCAGTGGTGATTTACATTTCAGTTTGGATATGAATAGAAAAAATGTAAACCTTTTTATCGAGAAGAAGGATGCAAAGTGAAAATCCCTAGTTCGAAGAATGAGTGCGCTGATAATGGCTTTTAATTAGATAATAGAATTTTTCTTTGAATAATAATAAATATACAGTTACATCATCATCATCAAGTATATAACATTGTGGTCCTCGACGTCAGTAGTAGGCGTGTGTTTGTCTGTGTGTGTCTGTCAGTGTAGTAGGCGTGGGTGTGTTCGGTAGTCGCGGAAATGATACGTTTCTCCGNTATAACATTGTGGTCCTCGACGTCAGTAGTAGGCGTGTGTTTGTCTGTGTCTGTGTAGTAGGCGTAGGTGTGTGGGTGTGTTCGGTAGTCGCGGAAATGATACGTTTCTCCGGTGTGGGCGGTGTGACTGTGGTGGCTGTGGTAATCATAATCATCATCATCATTGGGTGTGTGGGTGTGTGTATAAATAGAAATAATTAATAATAAAAATAAAGCTTTCATATTGGAAAACGTGTATAAAAAATAATCGATTGATCGTGCCTGCTAAGAGGTGCGACACACTTGGGGGAGAAGGAGGAAAGGGGAGGGAAGATGGGGAAAGAGAAGATGGGGAGGGGCACTTTTAGGCGCAAGAGCAAAGAGAATCAAGAGAAGAAGAAGGAGAAGGAGAAAAAATTGAAGAATTGCATCCAAATATTCAAATTGCAGCAGCGAATGCAGCACACTATTGCAGCAAAAGTGTCAGATAGAAAATAAAAAGTTCAACCGTCCAGTTTTAGTTTGTGTTGTATTGGGGTGTTGAAGGGGAGAGCGAAGATGAAGAAAAGTTGTGGAGTGGTTCCAAACACAGGGGATAGGGACGAAAAACAGAAAGAAGAAGAAGAATATCACCGATTTGTGTGGCTCAAAAAGAGAAGAGAAGAGAAGAGATAAAGAGTTGAAACAGAAGTTGCAGAGGCGGTGGCTTGTGGTAGTGGTGGCATTTTAGAAAAGCTGATCTGAAGATAAGATTAGAAGAGTTCAGCCCTAGCTGGAGCCGTTGCCGTTGGAGGTGGGGGGCGTGCTCGAGTTGCCATTGTTGGCCACCGCGGCCACGGCCGTTTCTTTGCCGTTCAGCATCGACTCGAGGTTCTGCACCTTTTCGCTCTCCTCCTGGAAGGAGTGCTTGCCAATCTGCACCAGATTGTTCAGCTTGACAATCTTGCTGTTCAGCGTCTTGTTCTCCTCCTTGATCTTCTCCAGGTCCTCCTGGAAGCCCTCCTCCTTCGCCTTGAAGCCGGCAATGACCGCCTCCTTGCTCGACACAAGCTCTTTAAGGTCGCGAAGCTGACCGGTCAACTGAAGTTGAGAAAGAGAGGTGAGCAATGAATACAAAACAAACTCCACACCACCCCCACTTACCCCGTCATTGACTCTGCTGAGCTGGTCAATATTCTCGCGGCACTTGCTCAGCTCCTCCTTCACCGTCTCCTCCTCTTCGCTNAGGTGAGCAATGAATACAAAACAAACTCCAAACAACACTTACCCCGTCGTTGACTCTGCTGAGCTGGTCAATATTCTCGCGGCACTTGCTCAGCTCCTCCTTCACTGTCTCCTCTTCTTCGCCCTTCTCCGCGAGCAGTCGCTCCAGCTCCTCTAGCTTTTGATTCTGCTCATTCTTGCTCTTCAGGTACTTCTCCTGCATCTCATTGAGAATCTTCTCCTGCAACAAAGAGGTAGAGTAGGCATTATAATCAGAAAGTACACTACTTCCTAATCATCACTTACGGTCTCCTGGAGAGCGNTTGCTCTTCAGGTACTTCTCCTGCATCTCATTGAGAATCTTCTCCTGCAAAAAAGAGGCAGAGTAGGCATTATAATCAGAAAGCACACTACTTCCTAATCATCACTTACGGTCTCCTGGAGAGCACTGGAGTACTCCTGTGACATCTTCGCCTCCTCCTTGTTGCCGTGCTTCAGCGAGTCGAGCTGCCCCCGCAGCGCCTCCTTCTCCGCCGTCACCTGCTCCAGCAGCTCGCTCAGGTCGGCGTGCTTGCCGCTGAGCGCCTCGTACTGCGACGCTTTCGTCTTCAGCTCCTCGAGGCTCGCCTGCAGGCCCTCAGAGTCGACCGCCAGGCCCAGCGCCTTCTTCAGGACGGCCGTCAGCGAGCTCAGCCGACCCTCACTGGCCCCCAGCCGACTGTTCAGCTCGTCAGAGTGGGCGGTCACCGCCGCTGCCTCCTTCTCGCTGGTGGCCACCGCCGCCGCCAGCTGCGCCTTCTCCGCCTCCAGTCGGGCGAGCTGCGCCTTCAGCGAGTCGGAGTCGGTCTGCGCCGTCGCCTTTGCCCTCTCCGTGCTCGCCTGCTGGCTCTTCAGCTCGCCGAGGGACGCCTCCAGCTGGGCGCGCTGGCTGGCCGCCTCGCTCAGCTCCGCCTTCAGGTTCTTGATCTCCAGTTGCAGGGCCTCCGCCTCAGAGCTGGCCGCCAGCTGCTGACTGCTGGCCACCTCCAGCTGGTCACGCTCTGCAGTGAGGCGGGTCACCTTCGCCTCGAGGCTCGTCACCTCCTGGTTCCTCCGATCGAGCAGGTGCTGCTCACGATCGGCCGCCTCCGCCAGCTCACGGTCGCGCTCTTCAAGCTGGAGGCGGAGGGCGGCCAGCTCCTCGCCGTCCGCCGCCGCCTGCTCCTTCAGGCCGTCGGCCTGCGTGGCGAGCAGCCCGCCCAGGCGGCCGACCTCCGCCTGCAGACTGGCCACCTCCTGGCCAAGGCGGGCGCGCTCCTCGGCGCGCACCTCGTGGACGCGCTGCTCGAGCCGGGCGGCGGCCATGGCTGCCGCCTTCCCTTCCGCCTCGTGCAGCATCAGCGCGTAGCTGCTCTTCGCGGCGGCCAGCTCCTTGCGCAGCGTCTCATTCTCCGCCGCCGCCTTGCTCATCGCCCGCTTCAGCGTCATGATCTCCACCGAGTACAGCTCGCCCTTCTTCTTCGCCGCCTCGATGTTCTTCGTCTGCTGGTCGATCAGCTCGTTGCGCTCCGCCAGCTGCTTCTGCAGCGTCTCCAGGGGGTCGTTTTTCTGGGAAGGAAGAGGGAGAGGGAAAAGGTGGAAGGTTAGAAGGGTACAAAGTGGAAAAAGAGTTGTTGCAGTTGATTAGTGCCAGTTACCTTATGCCAGTTATAGTCAGCATTCTGCTCCTCCGCTTGCCGATTTAGTAAAGCATCTGTGAGGCGGGTGATATCATCAGCCGAGAAGTAGGAGGAGTTCACCAGCTCCAGAATATCTTCAAAGCTAAGCTCTTTCGGTGAGGCTAGT